TTAATTAAGATTTTTTTGTCAATTAAAATACGTACTTAATGAAATATAGGACATATCAAAGTATCTTATATTAAGCGGAGGGAGTAGTAAAAATAATCGCTCCGGAGATCTTAGATAACTTTGAGGGAATCTTCAACGTTTAAATTAAACTGTCATTTAAGGTTATCCTCAAGTAATTGCCCATGGTTGGCACTATACGCGGTTAGAGCAAAGCTTAAGTTAACTTCACATGCCCGATTCATCGACAGGCCAGCTGGACAGGAAAGAAAAGATACGCATCCTGTATAATTCTTTTTTTTTTTTAATCCCTGCAAATTGTCTCTTTTACTAAAATGAAAAGATCAGATAAAATTGTTAAAGGTCATCGTGGGATATTTAATACTACTAGTAACTACTAGTATTCCATAAACAAAATTAAGTTGACTTTTGACCGCGTTAAGTATTTTGTGTTTTGCGTCCATAATTTAAACTATTTATGTACACCTTCCTTCACATAATTATTGTCCAGTTTTATTAACATCTAATATTTTATTTTTAGACAAATTTAACCATATTTTTATTAAATCTTCCAAATATACTCTGCATAGATGGTTTAATCCGCAAAAAAATCCCATATGTACAGACAAAAATTAGAATTGAATGATGGTGAGGAAAAGATCCGCTGCTGCTTCCGATTTAGATCAACTCCCGTCGCCGTCCGGCAGCCACGCCCATTTTCTCTGTCGTACTCCAACGCCGACGATAACAGCGGGTGTTGATTTTAGAGCCCCTGCTGGTGGCACAATTCTCGACGTCGTCCCCAACTACTCTACCACCACCTCTGCCACCTCTGCCAGTAGAGGAAATTTTTGATCATACAACTACGATACAAGACGTGGGTGAGAATTCCAGAAGTGGTGAGGTTGAAATCACTTTAGATATCATTAGACAATATTTGGAAAAAATCTCAAGGATGCGGCCGAAGAATTCGGAGGTAAATTTTCTTCACTGCTATTTTTAGTATTGTTGAGTGCCCGCCTGTTTAGTGACAGCCACCACCACCAATAACAATAATAATAATCATAATTACTGTAATTATGTGGATCCTTCTACTATTTATGTCTCCAAAATCACTCATCTTCAAATCGAAACTGCTGCAAATGCTAACGTGTGTGTTTTCTCTGGTTTGCCACTGTTTCCTACGTCTAATCACAGAAACGGTAATAATTCATACCTCGTTCCCAAACCGGAATAACTTCTCAACGGTATATATGTAACTTTATCCATAAAAAGTCAAATCAGACAATAATTTTAGGACAAAATTTTTTTGGCAAAGCGGACAATAATTATGGGATGGAGGGAATATTAAATTATTTTATATAATGAATATGTAGATTCTTGGATATTTTTACTTTTATAATTCACTTTCATTCTAATAAGTAATTATAGTTTTTTTCTTGCAAAACCTTTTTTTAATAAAAAAATTTATGCACGATTTCTTATGTGCAAAATAAAACATAAAAGGGACCTTAAACCACAAAAAAAAAAAAAAAGAAAAGAAAGCGAATCGTTAGCCTTTAGGGTCAAAATCTATCAATTTAAATAATGATTATTAAGAGTACAAATTTCCCAGTATAAAAGAGGAGACAAAATGTTTCTAAAAAGATAGTCTTGTACAAATCTTAAAACTCAATATAATTTTTTATTACTCCTTCCATCCCATAATTATTGTCCACTTTGCTCAAAAAATTTTGTCCTAAAATTATTATTCAATTTGATTTTTTATGGATCAAGTTACACATTTGTCCTTAGTAAAAAACATTATCCATAAAATTTTAGTGGTTAAACAATTACTTATGTAAGGGTATATCCGGTTATTTAAGGTAAAATATAGTTAAGTTTGACCAAAAATAAAATCTTTCATTTTAGTAAAACTGGACAATAATTATGAGACGGAGGGAGTATTTTTTTTTATTTTAGGAGAGAGGAATCAGAGGAATGGAGAGATCATCTGTGCATATTCCACGAATGAGGTGTAGTAATATAGAGTGTGGAGTAGGAAAAATTATTAGATGCAGCGGTTGTATCCTGGTTTTTAGTGCAGTAAGTATTAGCACCCCTTAATTTGGTGGTATAATTTCCGTAGAAATTATCTCTCTCCCCTCAAAATTATTACTTTACCCCTATTATTGTGTCTGGCTGTACAATCCTACGTGGTACAACAGCTGCACTGAATAATTTCTCGTGAAATAGATGTTTTGTTCTAGGAGTAGAAGTTAGTCTATTGACTAAAACTATACAAGTTTAATAATCATAATATAAGTCCCCTAGTTTGTCATGTACTACATTTTTTATGGTTAATATAAAATACATCCCCCAAGATTCATTTCATTGGCTAAAACGTCCTTACTATTTAAAAAAATATCAAAAATATCCTAAAATCAGCAAGTCAATTATTAAAAGGATCTTCCATTTTCATTATGGAAGAGTGAATTCTTTCTCATTTTTGTAGATGAGAGCCTTTATAATTGGGGGATTTTTTGGGGGCCGGCGCAGACAAATGATATTTGTCTCCCTTCTTGGCTAAAAGTTACCTGAGACAAGACATAAATATAATTAAAACATGGAAAAACTATGAGAAAGGATACGAAAGCAAGGTTTTAATGTGAGATATCTTAAATTCTTTTTTTTTTCTTTTTTTTTTGTTGTTAATAAACTTTTCTTCTTTAGCTAGTTTTCGCATTTTCTTGCTTCATCAGTTGCAGGTCAACAAAACAAAGAACTCACTCAAAGATTACCAAACCTTGTCGCCTTTTGACGGAACAAAATATGCTATGTACTCGATCGTTTCAAGGAAACAATCAACTCAGCTTTGCAGGCTAACATATTCTTAATAACCGAAAATTCTATGTTAGAGTAATTGTAGGGATTGTTAAGTGTAGTAGTCAAATTTGTTGCGATCTGTAATTAATACCGTGATATGATTTGATTTAGATTAAGGCTTTGTTTACTTGTATAAATATTTAATGATATGGACTCAATAAACATATAACTTTACTTTCTCCAATTATCATGACTTTCTTGACCCGTTTCTTGCTAATAACAATAATAATAAATTCTAGGATCCCATTGATAATTTTAAGGGTATGATTCCGTTATAATTTAATCAATGACAAAATGACACATCATGGAGACTTACCAAATTTTCAAAAATCAATAATTTAGGAAAGTTTCAGCATTTAAAATAATAAAACCACTGTCAATTAATAATTAAATTTTTTTATTTTACGTTTTATATTGCACTAAATACTTACATGTAATTGCACATTAATTTATAAAGAAGGACGAATGCACATTTTAGTCCCTAATATATTGGGGTAGCCCAACCTAGTCAGCAAAAAATTTTTACTGCCGATTTTAGTCCCTAATACTTTTTTCACCCGATTTTGGTCTTTTTAAAAGTTCTTTTTAGCAATTGAGAGAAAGGGTAACTTATTCGTTTCCTACAGAGGGTGGGTCCCACGTTCCTTCACCATGAATTTTTTGCTTTAAGCGGTTTTTTAAGTATTATTTTGAGTAATAGATTTTTATTTATTATTTTTTAATTTTTATGATAATTAATAGATTTTAAAGAATTGCATATTTATGATAATAGATTGCATTTTCACTTGAAAGTAATTGCAACATGAAAAAGGCACCCATAATTATAAATAATTATAGTATAATAATAGATATAGAAGTATTATACATTTATAAAAAAAAGTATCACGCACTATGTAAAGTGAATCTTTGTTATACACAACTAGGTGTTAGACCCGTCCGATGGATGGGGAAGGCATACCCATTTAGACATTTTTACATAAATTTTGTATTTTTATAAAATATGTAATGACTTCAGTTTTAAACATGATTATCTCTGGATTTACAGGAATTTGTTTTTTTTTCTAAATGACATTTTAAATTCACTGGTGATAAGGTTTATGCAGATCTCTCTAAAATTTGTTAGGATTTGGTACTCTCTCCAATCAATCTGTGTTAGGATTTGGTTCATGAAAATAAGGGTTCCGTTTTTATTATTTTATTTTTTAAAAAATTATTTTAGTTGCTTTTTTTTTGTTTTATTATTTTGTTTTGTGCATTTTTAAGTCTAAGAAATTAAGAAAATGTAACATAGGATTAAATCCTATGTGGCATGTGCTCCATGCCTTTAGTTTTCTCTGGTTTTTGCCTTAGTATAGTATATAGATAGATAGATATAGATATAGATGCATCACATTCTCAACAGAAAAAAATTTACATTCTAGATAAACAAAAAAAAATAAAAAATTACACACTTAACTTTTACAAAAGATAAAACAAATCAATTTTAAACAAGTTAAAAATTATTGTCAAAATTTGTGACATTTATTTTCATGGTTTATGTTTTAATAATAAGAAAAATGTTAAAGTACATTATATGATTTTTTTAATTTTTTAATGAAGAAAGTACATGGCTCACGCAAATTGAGTCTGTAAATATGAGAATTAAAAAATATTATGAACAAGTCAAGACATAAATATGAGATTCTTTGTTTTGTGGACTATCTATGAACTTTTCTATTTTTTAGGATTATGAATTTAATTATTTAATTTATTATTTTTTTTTGGTAGCAAATCACTACCATGCGTGTGAATTAACCGTAACAAAAAAAACATTAAAAACACAGCCTTGTGTGAGGGCGCTGGAGAAGAAAGAAATTATTTGCAATTCATAGGTTGTTGTATAATCAATACCTATACCATAATGTTAATTGGTTGTCTTTAATGTTTTTTTAATAAATATTTTATTCATTTAATACAAATTATATGGTTGTGATTGTTTTAATCTCATCTGACGATTATTAATTAAATGATTATTAATTAAATAACGGGACCATTTCCCTAAATATCTAATTGTGTTAGTTAAATCATTTATCCCAAAATATAATGAAAGTTTTAAGTCAAACTTTGTTATAATGTAGTAGATTCTCATTAAGTGTACAGTATAATCTAAAAATTCCAGGTTATCCTTTCATCTTGGATTCGAGAAGCTTGAACGGATGGACTTAATGATTTAAATAGGAAAGTATCAATGGAGAATATGAAATTATGAATATCAATTAACTGAATCTCATTTCAGATTTCCAGTGACGAGACAGAAAACCAAAGGTTGAGAAATTCTTTGTGCTCATCATCGGTCACCAAAATTGCAGTAAAAACGATGAAGCAGACACTCATGACTACAACTACTCTGCCTTACCTCCCTGCTCCTCTGAAGCTCAAGACTACATCATCAATGTCCGTTTTAGCTCCTCCATTAGTGCCTCGTTTCAAATGGTTTGCAGTTTCAGTCTCTCAACAGCGGAAGAATCCCGCCTCTAAAACCCCCTCAAAAGCCTCTACAAACCCTCTTCCAACTTCCACTCCAGCTACTTCTACTTCTGCAATTGCCAACCCTCCAAAAAACAAGAAGGTTAAATATCATATTTTGTTGGAAAAATTCCATCTTTGGTGCTCAAGATTAAAATTCTAAATTCCATTTTTCATTCTCTTATTATTAATATTTGTGTGGGATGATCATTAGTGTCTTTATTTGGCTAGAATTCCCTTCTTCAAAACATATGGGCTTTTCATTTTTTTAATTTTATCGAGACATTCTTGTATTGTGGAAATTCAATTTTATGGGTCATGATTATTGTGTTTCATTGGTTCAGTTTCATGTACTGTTTTTAATGTTTATCGCTTTTACTGGTTTTAATAGGTATTGGTGCCAATTGGGTTTGGTACAGAAGAAATGGAGGCAGTGATAATGGTTGATGTTTTGCGCCGGGCGGGTGCAGAGGTGACATTGGCATCTGTTGAGCCACAGCTGGAGGTTGAGGCTTCTGGAGGCACAAGACTGGTTGCTGATACTCTTATAGCTGATTGTTCCAGGGAAATTTTCGATTTAATTGCACTTCCTGTGAGTTTTCCTTTTCTCCTTCACTTAAGCCTTTTAGGTGTTGTTGTTTTGCCATTGCAACTTGCAACTTGCAACTTGCTCCTTTTTGTTTAGTAGCTTACTTCCTTGAAAGTCCATCAATATTCTGATTATTAATCACTTTGGTGCACATTTTAATCTCTCTCTCATGTGTTATTTGGTTATGTAGGCTAATTTGCAGGTGAAACTTGACATTTTACATGCATTTCAATCTTTCTGGACGGAACTTGCTCATTTAATTTTGGATTTTGTGTGAAAATTGCATCAGTCTTAACAATGGCTTGTTTGTTTGTGGTCCTTGGAAGTACTTTTCGGCTTATATTAGTGGTGATCCTGCCTCTTAATGGTCACCCTGTCATGACTAGTATAACTATGTTGAGCAATACTGAAAGATAGTACTCTGATTTGTTGATAAGGTTTGGCGAGTTCACCTTAATTTGCTGCAACTTTACTTTGTTTTAATTGGTGGTCTGCGTGCATTCACAAGAGACACATTTGATCCTTGTCTTTACATTCTGCCTACCCACGTATCATCATAAATTGATTGTTGTATTTGTTTAGGGAGGGATGCCAGGCTCTGCACGTTTAAGAGATTGTGAAATTCTCAGAAACATGACAAGCAAACACGCTGAAGAAAAAAGGCTTTATGGTGCAATATGTGCAGCTCCGGCTGTCACCCTTTTACCTTGGGGTCTTCTTAAAAGGAAGCAGGTAACTTCCTTGTACTATTCAGTCCAATTGTATTGCACTCTGCCAATGAGCAGTTTTTGGGTAAATCACATCCATATTTGTGTCCTGCCAGATGACTTGCCACCCTGCATTTTCTGACAAACTCCCTACCTTCTGGGCTGTTAAATCAAATAACCATGTTCATGGAGAACTAACAACAAGTCGTGGACCTGGCACTTCGTTTGCTTTTGCTTTATCATTAGTGAACCAACTGTTTGGTGAGGCTCGTGCCCAGAAAATTGGAAATTCTCTGGTAAGTAAGTACAATGGTTAAACTATCTCCTGATATAATTGTTCTCTTTTGAAAGGATAATGTTACATTGTACGGACTTATCAATATAAAATGGTGAAGGTCCTAGGCTGAATATTATAGCATTGAGCATATGCTCTACTGTTTACTCTTCAACTTTGTTACTGAAAAAGCCCCTTACCTTTGATTCGTTCGATAATGATTTTTTCTCACTTCTATTTAGCATGTACCTAATGTGCATTATGCCTGGCATGTCAGAGTAGTCTTATACAAGAGCCATACGAAGTCTGATATCAGTTTTCTTTTAGGTATTGTAATGCTGCCTGATTCAGAAATAACCTGACCAACGAAAATTTGCTCCTTTTTTGCCAGCTCAAAAGCATATACTCCTGACAACTTTAAGTAATTGCTTTGTCATGTCCTATTTTCCTTTTTTTTTTTTTAATTGTTGGCTAACATTTTGTTCCTCTTCTATGAAGCTACTGGATGATGCAGATGAGGCTAATAGGAAAGACGAACACAATGAAGCTCAATGGTCTCTGAATCATACTCCTCAGGTTGTGTATCTTCTGCTGAATATTCTACCATTTACTTACCTAGAATTTTGGAAGTTTAACTTCTCCAGTTTAGCATATTACCCTTTTATTACTTCCTGTTTGATCATAGTTTGCGATTTCTTGCTGGGTATTCTACTCTCCTTTCTGGCGTCAATGTCTTTAGAGATTAAGTAGTATACTATTTCTACAGATGCATTTTATAAGGTTTGTACTCCTGAAATATTAATCCTCATTGCAAACGATTGTTCTGCACTTGATAACAAGCTCTCCGTCATATTTTATGGGATTTTTCTCTAGAGTTGAATAGTATTTATCTAGTTGGTATGGTAGATTTGTATGTCTGTGTTAATCAAGTTAACAGATTGGTGTCAATAGGAATTCTTTGTACTAGTCTGCATTTGGTAAATACACATTGGGATCTCTTAATGATTAAAGGGAGCATCCGTCTGTGTAAATGTCATTGTTGTGTTTCTTTGCTGTTAGGAAATAGCTGTATCTGTGAGCACGCACATTGTCTCTTAATTGGTCAGATATTATCTAAAAAGAATGCTTTACGATATATCTGCTCTCACATATCTATATAGGAATTTCTGGAACAACTTTCGTAGAATTTCTACTCTGTGTGGTTGTCTGCTGCTGTAAACAAGACAGTTGAAACTTCTTAAAACTATCATATGGGTTCGAGAAGTCAGAAAGTCTTTTTTCATCTATATTGTAGGTCCTGCTTCCAGTGGCTAATGGTTCTGAAGTAATTGAGGTAGTTACAATTGTAGATATTCTACGAAGGGCGAGGGCTACTGTTGTAGTGGCTTCGGTAGAAAAATCCATGCAGATCTTGGGTTCACAAGCACTTACAATTGTTGCCGACAGTCTGATTTCTACAGCTGCTGAAGCTACTTATGATTTGATCATTTTGCCTGTGAGCTGCTCTTCTTCTTTCTCCATCAAATTACATCTCCCATTGCGTTATCATGTTTTAAGAATTGGGTACCTTTGTTCTGTATTGAGTATTGTCAATCAAATTAAAGAGTATAATTTTCATCTGCTTGTTTGTTAGGGCAACAGTCACTGGTTTCCAGTGCATTGCTTACTCATCAAATCTAGTGTGTTCGTATGCTGATGTTATTATTTTCAGCTTTGTCTTCTTGCCCATGTTTACTTAGCAAGAGTCTTATGCATAAAACTTTGATACTTGTATGGCTGTTTCGTATAATTTCCTTTCTAGTTTAGTGGTGCTTCATGTTCTTTTTTGTTGAACCAGTACTTTGTAGTTCTTTTTCCCCCATTAACAGATGCACTTCTCCATTTGAACCGGTCTGCATGTAATTTGTAACACCTATCAATAACTCTCTTCTTCTCGTGATGAGTAGATGCTAAATATTTAAACTTATTCTCCCTATGTCCCAAAATGATTGTTCTGTTTGTTATACTAAAAGTAGTACAAAAACGGGACAATCAGTTCGGCACGGAGGGAGTAGAAGCATCTGATTCATGCTTGCAAATTTCAACACTTGCACCTGGCGATTTCTGTAGATTACTGAAATGGTACTCTGCATTTTCATTTAAACCCCAATGATAATAATACATTTGTATTCTGATGCCTCTCGGAAAAACTTTCTTTTTGGCATTTCTTCTTCGCATTTTAATGAAAATTTTACTTAATCCACAAAAATCTAGAAGAACTTAGAAACCAATAGCCACCTAGAGAGGTTTCTTTGATCACTAAATTTTAATATAGCTATATGCCTCTGAAATTTAGGGAGGTGCAGCCAGCTTTGAAAGACTACAAAAATCAAAGATTCTCAAGAAGTTATTGAAAGAACACCATGTAGGTGGAGGACTGTTTGGGGCCATGAACTCTTCACTTACAATCCTTCAGAAACAAGGCTTATTGGAGGTTAGTGTAACCATCTTCATGCTAATGTAGTCTTCAGTTGAGGATTCTGTAAATTTAATACCCATTATGTGAACAGGAAACGGAAGCACGCACAACTCAATCAGTTACGAACAACTTATGCGACGTAGGTGATACTGCCGGAGTAGTTATTGATGGTAAATTGATTATGAGCAAAGGTCTAGCCAAAGCGACAGATTTTGGACTGGCTATCGTTAGTAAGTTTTTTGGGCATGCGAGGGCTAGGAGTGTTGCAGAAGGTCTTGTTTTTGAGTACCGTAGAGGGTGAAAATGATTGTGTTCTTTGCGGGGTTGGAGAGGAACCATCTTGTGGAAAGAAGAACTCCGGCCCTAATCGAAATACGGATATAGGTAGTTGTAGCAGCACTGCAAGTTGTTCTCTTTTTCGCTCCTATTGAACTTTCTGGCAAAGACCACCCAGCTAGGTTCTACAAACCACCCTAATCTTTTGAGCTTTTCCGATTCTATGATTTTATGCAATGTTTAGAAACTATCATTCCTGCAAATCTTACGTGTGCTGTTTACATGTACAGCTGCCAGAACTGACAAGTACTGAGTATTTCCGGCCAATAGATTTCAATGAAGTTGGTAAACTTACAAACAAGGTATTGAAACTTCATAACCATCCACAGTTAACGAGGTATGAACATCGCCAGTTATCTGTCCTTACCACTACTAATACACAAGCACGAGCATAGATGGTCAAGTTGGAAAATGCGGGGGAGATCTTTGTCATAGGAAGGCAAGAGAAGGATGTTTTCGATGACTAGATTCAGCCAAAAGACAGCTGGCTCCTTCAACTCTGTCTAGGCCATACGGCATTATGAGCATCTTGCAGCACAGTACTAACCATCTTTACCAAACCTGGAAACTTCCCTCTTAAGTATGAAGATGATACTTGTGATTGTGAATGATGTAGCTGTTTATGTGAACATCCCAGAATATAATTCATTTCAGAACTTGACTTCACAAGTACTACTAGGAACATAAAAAGTAGTGGAATATATATGTACACAACTTAAGCTTATCCTCGACACAAAAGCACTAGGGCCAGGTACCTAACAGAGCCAAATGAATGACAAAAGAGGTAACCTCCCCATTCTCCTCCTTTTCAGGGCTACGGATTCACTATAGAACTACCGGAAAGACATTAGCCATGAATAACCATCTGTTTAGTAGGAAGCAAACCCACAAGCACAGCGAAGAGGAAACCGACACTACAAATTGGTTCCCTTATTTACATCACAATGATCAGTTCCTGCTTTAACTCTGTACACAAACCAGCCTATCATGTGTACATTACAGTCTGCTAATGCAATCCCACCATGCTTTCTCTAAACAAACTCCAACCTTGAAGGGCTCTGTGGAATTAGTGCTTCATTCTACCAAGGTCCTGTCAGCGTTCTCCTCAAGCATCGCCTTTTACCACCCCAGGAAATTTTCATTGTCTCCAATATCTGGGAAAAAAAACAAGAAAACCCCACTTTTGGTCAATTACCACTCACTTGCGTGAGTCAAATCATAATAAAAGGAACCTTGGTTGAGACGTGTGCTGTCACTATTCTTCATGTCTATTCATTTTTCCACCCATTTAAATCTTAGAACAGTCTCTTTAGAAAGCCTTACTAGTCTCTCTTTCGTACATGGTGCAAATGTTCCATGGTGCGAAACATTATTCACTACGTAAGTGGAAGCATGAATAAAGGTTGGCAAATTTTTGCCACGTCATGGATACAAGACACAAACTCATAAATATATTTTGAGAGTGCATGGGCCCAACACAAAAATTAGAGCAATGAAAACATGTCAAAATCATCTTGTGAAAACCATTTTGAAACCAACCACGAAAACGTTCAACTTTCGACTGATGAACAAAATACGAGCCCGAATGTCACATATTATTAGACCAGGAACTATAATCACACCCCAAGAAATTTGGACATTTCTTGATGTTCCTTTATCGGGTTTAGCCGCCTAATAACAAAAGCAATCAAAATGAGCAAAAAAGAGGCAATACCTGATTCTTTTGCATCTCCATTAGTTCCATCTGTAATGACATAAATTAACATCCTTAAAATGTAATACTTTCCAAAAATTTGAAGGTAAGAAGACTAATAACCTTGCCAAATTAACAAACCTGCTTTTTCTGCAACTCCTGATTGACTTCCTTAAGTTTAGCTACTTCTGCTTCCAATTCTAAAGTGTATGCCTGCACAAGCCAAATGTTTAAAGTTAAAATGACTCAGCTTTCAGTAATTGAAAATTTTGTTTAAAATCAGGTTCCACGTACCCACCCCACAAAAGAACTGCAACCCGGAGTAAAGAGTTACGGACTCTAAATTCCTATCCGGTGATTAAAAATGCCTGACATTTGACCCAAACAAGAATTATAAAATTTTGGGTTATGCTTACCTGCTTCCTGGCTCTTGACCTTGCAGCAGATTCTCTATTTTTTATCATTCTCCTACGCCGCCGCTCAACTTGTTTCTCTAACGAGCTACATGATCTCCTTCCTCGACCACCTTCACTAATAGCATAAGGAGAAGGTGATGAATCCAGATTGCTCTTGGACATCAAATCCGAGTGCAAGTGGCTTCCAGGAGATCCCCCAACAACCGTTGTTGTCACCCCTTGTAATCCAGCTATGCCCATAACTCCACTTGGTGCAACACCTCCACCAGGAACTACAGCCGGATTCACTACAGTGGTTGTTGTTTGAGGAGTAGCTAGCCGAACATTATTTCCCAAATGCAATGGAGAGTTAAAAGCCACCGTTGTTTGCTTGGGAAAAAGAGGCTGAAGCTGGGATGGCTGCGATTGTTGCTGCGGCTGGGTAGATGATCTAACCTCAGTTGTCCCATTCAACAATAAATTCGACGGATTAGAAAATGTATTCATACTTGCAGCCAATTGATTACCATTCACCATTCCTGGATTTCCAACAGGTTGTTGAAATTCAGTACTTAATCCACCATTATTGCTATCCACCGGATTTAGCCCCCCATAAAACGCACAATTAGTTGTTGCATTTCCAGTAGTCTGAACTTGAGCATCCTCCCTAACTACACCTGCTCTCACAAGAAACTCCTCAAGAGTCATCTCCCCCAGTGTACGCTGTCTTGGCCCCAAATTTGGAGCCGCCCCACTAACATTTCCATCATTAACTGCTCCTCCAGTCTCTTTAAGCAAATCTTTCCAAACTTCGTCAACAGTTTTCTGGCTCAGTGTCCGGGGTAACGTTAATGAACCTTGCCTCTGCAAATTTCCAGCCGGGCCCATCCCATTTGCCCCAACATTAGTACTATTGACTTGAGTCTCTTCCGCAGTCCAAATGTTCTTCAAAAGATCCTCCATATTCATAGACCCAAAGTCCTTTCCTAAACTACCAAATGTCTGAAGCTCACCAAACGTCATGGAATAAATGGAAGATTGCCGGGCTAATGGTACATTTCCACCTGTCCTTCCAACACTGGCCTCTGGTTGTGTCAAGTTCCCAATGTTATCGAAATTCAAACATGATGATCCCATCTTCCTTTTGTGATCAGAGCACTATGAAGTGCCCAACAAAAGCTGGTGAGAACATTGTGTACTGGTTAGTGCCTAAATTAAATTATCAACAAAAAAACAATAGTCGATTACATTATATCAAACTTTGCTTGGAAGTTTGTATTAGACAGGCCGAAGTTCTCTTTCCTTTCTTTTTTATATCTATATTTTTCACCTTTTCCAACTTTTACATGTATTCTTCCAATGACATCCTCAGATAAAAGAAAAATAGTTTTCCACATAGACTAAGAACGATCCAACAACCTTCAACTTCTACTGACTAGGTTCAAGTGTGTCCCACTACTAGCTGGACCATATTGAACCCAATCGTGAATCACCAAACATAAAAGATGAAGCTTGAGGAGATAACCATTAAGGTTTAAGCATCAAAATTAGGTTAAGAGCCATTACCATTGAATAGACAGACAGCTAAGAAGATACCATTTAGCAATTAAGCATGAACAATCGAACCCCCTCCCTCCCCTCAAAAAAAAAAAAAACAAAAAACAAAAAGCGAAGAATTGGAGGACAGATCTTTAAGTTCAGAGTACAGAGAAGTAAAAGATTTTTCCAGTCACACAAAACTGCCCGGATCAGACAATGACCCAGAACACTTCAAACCATAATCTTACTCAAGAATTTTAGATCCAGGCCTAACCAAATCGCATCACAATCACAACACTTCAATTAATATAACTTCCTCGTAAAAGCACATGTTCGACAATCAAACAAACAAATTACAGTCCGATCCCTTCTTCCTGCTTTTTCTCATTGAATTCCAATAACATTTCAAAAGCTTTTTGAACCTCGAAGAAGAATCATCATCAAAAACCCAGAAACCAAAAACATCTCTTTTCATCTTTCAAAAATCAGAAATGAAAAAAAAAATAAAAAAATCCTCCGAACCCAATTCACATCAGCATGATCTCTACTTAATTCCCCTCAAAGATTTTCCATTGGCTGCTAAAGGTGGATTATTTACAAATTACAAGCATCATTCCCAACAGTAAAACCCAGAAAATTACAATGGAAAAGAAAAAAAAACGAAAGCAAGGCAAGTTTACCCTTTTATTATACTTACTTGATCAAAGAAAGACGAACAAACGGGGAAGCGTGTGAGCTAGTGAGCGTGTCGTTCTCTCCTTCTTCGCCGGTTTTAGCTTTGCAGCAGTCGACAAGTGTCTAAGCTCTCTAGCGATCACGAGTGTTTCATCAATTTATATATATATATGTCAAAAAAAAGAGAGGAGATTTGTTTCCTTGAATTATCTTAAAAATTGAGGATTTTGATTTTGATTTGATTTTCCATTTAAATTAATTACGTGGATGTCTCTAGACTCCGCAACGTGGCCCAATAAAATTGGTGGTGGGACCGGCGATGTAATGGGCTGGCCAATGGGAGTGGACAAAGTGGGTGTATCGTGAGCCGTTGATTTAGTGCTTTCCGACATAGTAATAGAGGAGTGGATGGCGATGGATCATTTTGTCGGCTTTCAGAATCAAAAAAAGTCCAAACCAAAAGAGATAAACTAGCGTAGACTTTGCACATTCAAAAATTAATAAAAGTGCTAACCCAAAATAATAGTAATAACCACACTTTCTGGTTCTTATTATAAGATATAATTTTAATTTTTTTAAAAAATTTAATAGTGTAAATTTTAAAAATATTTTATAATAACTGAGAGAACATAATAAATGTAAAAATAATTTTAAGATTTATGTGGAATTTAAAAATCAAATAAAATTTAAGAGTATATAATGAGGAAATGAATGTATTAATGATAAATAAAGGTGTGTAGCAGTATTATTTTCGTAGTACGTCAGCGCCACCTTTGGCTTACCCTCAGCCCATCCCCCATCCCATGCATTATCAATGGTTGTCTTTAGGTCCGGTTGAAAAGTAGTACTATATTTTTTGGGGATGGATTTTTAAAGCCCCCAAATTTAATACTCAAAGCCACCAAAAAAAAAATGGACGATTTTGTCACTGTCATTTAATACAGTAGAGAGAGAAAGAAAATGAGCAATTCAGAGGTAAAAAAAAAAAAAAAACCGAACCGGGCAAGAAAACCATCCGGGTTGAACCGGGGACGCGCAACAAACGCGTCCGGCCATTGAATCGGACGCGTTCATTGCGCGTCCCGGTAGAACCGGGGACGCGCAATCAACGCGTCCGGTTCAATGGCCGGACGCGTTACACACGCGTCCCGGTTGAACCGGAGACGCACAAACCGGACGCGTTTGTTGCGCGTCCCCAGTTCAAGCGGGACGCGTGTGTTGCGCGTCCGGCCAGTGAACTCGGTTTTTTTTTAATTTTAATTTCATGCATGTTATGTTAATATATTTGTTAATTTAATTAGTTATGTTAAGTAATTTAATTAGTTAAATTATATTTATTTATTGCATGTTATGTTAATTTAATTAAGTAGGAATATTATTATTTTATTTGTTAATTTAATTAGTTATGTTAAGTAATTTAATTAGTTGAATTATATTGATTTATTGCATGTTATGTTAATTTAATTAAGTAGGAATATTATTATTTTATTTTTTAATGTAATTAGTTATGTTAAGTAATTGAATTAGTTGAAATTAATTTATTTATTGCATGTTATGTTAATTTAATTAAGTAGGAATATTATTATTTTATTTGTTAATTTAATTAGTTATGTTAAGTAATGTAATTAGTTGAATTTTATTTATCTATTTAGATTTAATTAATTATAATATTTATTTAGGGGGGAATTAAATAATTAAAGAATTTTGTGGAATAAGTATTTAGTTAAGTATTGGAAATGCAATTAATTAAATATCTAATTAATCGCTAAATTAATGAATTCTAGCTTTTTAGGTAGGTATTGGGAAATTTAATTTAGTAAATAATTAATCTATTTACTGTAAATATATGTTTTTTTATTATTTTGTATAATTGTATATCTTTTTTAAATGATTAGAATGTGTGTTTAATTTAATTTATTATAATGTAGTTTTTTATTGTGGTAATTTTATGTTTAATTTGCAGGATTCTTTAGAAGATTTTGGTGGCGATGGTGAAGATTACAGTATATTGTTTGCTACAGATGAGGAATTTGCAGAAAAGGATGATGTTGTTGCTTGGGTTAAAGGCATGGGCTTGGCAAATGGTATGATAATAAACGTAGTTTCTAGCAAGAAGAAGAATGCTGTTCTGATGAAATGCTGTAAAGGGGGAAAGGTGTCAGTTGATGATGGTGAATACTATGTCACATCAGATTCGAAGACACAAATCACTGGGTGTAAATTTGAGTTATATGTGCACTTAGTTGATGGGAAGTGGCGCATTCGGGTATATCCTGGTGAGTTTGGAATGCATAACCACGAGCTGTTTGACGAAAATCATTCCACGAGGGCCCTTAGCGATGGAGTACAGCTTATACAGGACATGTCCAAAGATGGGTGCAGACCGTGTCAGATCATGGTTGCGATTGAGAGGATTTTTCCTGATAAAAAAGTTAACAGACGGCAAGTGTACAATTTCAGGGAGAAATTGTGTAATGAGGGGTTCCCGGTCTTGGGTGAATCGAGTGCCATGGATGTCGCGACGAAGACACTATCGGTGGCCAAGCATCATGCTTACATCATCATGACAGATTGCAATCAGGAGACAGGTGTGGTGACTCGTGTTTTTTTTGCACATCCTGATGCTGTCAATTTATTTTGCAGTTATTTCTGGGTCGTCGGGATAGACTCAACATCGAACAAGTACAAAATGCTGTTGATTGAGTTTATTGGGATGACACCGGCTTCCATGGCTGTCCGGCGGCTAGAATGTTATTTTTTTATTTTTTTTTTAATTTTTTTAATTCAATATTAGTGTTTAATTATGTTTGATTTAATGTAATTAGGGTTATTAAGTAGTTATTTATTAATTAATAGTTTGTGATTTAGATTGAGGTTCTCTATTAGTTGGTTATTTAATTTAATTATGTAATTAATTTAATTTGATTAATAGTAGATTAGTTCATTACCTAATTAGTTTGATTGATTTACTCATTAATTTAAATAGTTATTAAAATATTTAGGTTATATTTTTAATTTAATTATTAGTAGATTAGTAAAGTTAATCATTTTAGTTGATTAAATTAATTTAAATAGTATGTAAATTAGTTGAATTTTAAAAACTAATTTAATTTGATTAATAGTAGATTAGTCACTACACCATTAATTTAATTGATTTACTCATTAATTTAAATAGTTATTAAAGTATTTAAGTTATATTTTTAATTTAATTATTAGTAGATTAGTAAAGTTACTCATTTTAATTGATTAAATTAATTTAAATAGTATGTAAATTAGTTGAATTTTAAAAACTAATTTAATTAATAGTATATTAGTTCACTACCTAATTAGTTTAATTGATTAAATTATTTTTAATTTAATTAATAATAGATTAGTAAAGCTAATCTAAATTGTGTGTAATGTAGTTTATGATTAATTAATCAAACTAATTAGGTAATGAACTAATCTACTATTAATGAGTAAATCAATCAAACTAATTAGGTAATGAACTAATTTACTATTGATCAAATTAAATTATTTACACAATTAAATTAAATAACCAACTAATAGAGAACCTCAATCTAAATCATAAACTATTAATTAATAAATAACTACTTAATAACCCTAATTACATTAAATCAAACATAATAAAACACTAATATTGAATTAAACAAATTTTAAAAAAAATAAAAAAAAATAACATTCTGGCCGCCGGCCGGCTTCCATGGTCGTCCGGCGGCCACACAAAATAAAAGAAAAAAAATTTCTTCCCGCCGGACGCGTTTCTTGCCCGTCTCGGTCGCGCCGCCAGATGGCTTCCTTGCGCATCCGGCGGCCAGAATACGTTTTTTTTTTAAGAAAACGTACCCGTGATGAAATCGGCTCTTTCCCGCTTTGATTCTTTCGTGTTGCCATCAACAGTGGATCAAATTAGACTTCAAATTTGGGTTTAGAAGGGAGGTCGCTTCAAGTTTTCTCTCTTTTTTCCTTTGGTGGAAGTTTGAAATGTGAGGGGCAAAATAGTCCAAAAATATTTACGGTAGCTTTAACTAGTAAAGATGGTGGCTTAAAAAACTAACACCCTATTTTTTAACGTAATATTTTCTGGTTAAAAAAACGTAAACATGGTGTTATGAACATAAGAAATATACTAAAAATTAATTAAAAAACACGCACACAATAAAAGAACACTTTAAATAGATTCATATTCGAATGATGTTTTTAGAGTTGTAGATGGAGGTATAGAAATATTTGTATTCGTGTATAGTTTATCGGATAAAAAAATTAAATAATTTCTCTATCCTAAAAAAAAACCATTTCACATTACTAATAAAGATTTTTTCTAAAACTAGTATAAAATTTGAAATTTTAATGTTAGTTATTTTTTAAGACATAAATAATAGATTTTTCGAGAAAATTAAGTTATAATTTTGATATTATGTCTCATTACAGCCATTACTTTTATATAATATTTGTGCTGAACTACAGTAATGTTTTATGTATAATTTATGTATAATATTTGTGCTGAACTACAGTTATTTGTTGGTGAATACCCTTCTCCATCCTCCCCCACCCCCCCCCAAAAAAAAAAAACGTGTATTATTTGTGTTTTCACTTTTACAATCTTTGTACTCTTTTTCTTTAACTAAGGAGGCAAAGTTGGAATACAACCAACTTATGAAATAAACATAGATTTTGTTTTTCTTTGCATAATGAGAAAATGCGAAATTGAATTTTGACATAAAAATGTGATTTAATTAAACAGCTATCTCGAACGGCCCGATTAATAAGGTTATGGGTCTCAAGTCTCAACTTTTTTTTTTTTTTTGGACTACCTACTCTACTCTCCTACCCACTAACCCCCAAAATCCCCCATTTTGCCCCCCATGGGAATGGATCTTGGGTCTTCCAGGATGACCCCTCCCTCCCGAAACTACTTGGACAACTCTTAATTTCAGGATGTCAACTCTCATGACATCCAATAAAGAGGCTGAAAATAAAGAGGTCAAAATTTCAATTTTTTAGGATTTGTGAATCCTTAATCAAAACAGATCGAATATTCGAGGCATCACAAAAATGAGTGAATCTGGTTCGTCAACGCTTCATGAGGAACGGTGTCAGATTTTGTGGAACATGGGTTAATTAATTTTATATTATATCTTGATTAATTAATTCCTGAATTTGAAGATTTCAAGGAATAGCTAACATGGTTCGTCAATC